GAAGCACATGAGTGCCTCCATAGCAAGCAGCTTGCTATGGAGGCACTCAGTGGGGAGGAGGAGCCAGGAGTGGGGGACCCGCGAAAAGGGGGATTAGGGCTGCTCTGTGTAAAACCATTGCACAGAGCAGGTAAGTATTACTTTTTTTTCCCTTTTTAAATTAGCCTTTAGAATCACTTTATCCGGCACTTTCTCCCCTTCCTGCCCAGGCCAATTTTCAGCTTTCAGCACTATCGCACTTTGAATGAAAATTGCGCAGACATGCAACAACACTGTACCCAAACAAAATTTTTATCATTCTTTAGAGACAGATAGAGCTTTCTGTTGGGGGTATTTCATCATCATTCGGCATTTTATTTTTTGCTAAGCAAACAAAAAATGCCCCCAAAATTTTGAAAAAAAATATTTTTTTCCCTTTCTGTTAAAACATTTTGCAAACAAATATGTTTTCTCTTTCACTGGTGTGTGCTGATGAGGCTGCACTGATGGGCACTGATATGAAGCATTGATAGGCTGCACCAATAAGCGGCACTGATGGACACTGTTGGGACTGCACTGATGTCCTCTTTCACAGTTGCCAGTTACCGTCTCTCCTCTCTGAGGAAAGTGCAGCCAAGAACCGGAAACTGTGTTTACATCATGCTCAGCTGTTATGCAGCACTGATAGGCTGCACTGAAGAGGCACTGATGAGGCTGCACTAATATCCGGCACCGATTGGCACGGATAGGCAGCACTGACTGGCGGCACTGATGGACACTGTTGGGACTGCACTGATGTCCTCTTTCACAGTAGCCAGTTACTGGCTCTCCTCTCTGAGGAAAGTGCAGCCGATAAATGGAAACTGTGTTTACATCATGCATGATATGCTCAGCTGATATGCGGCACCGATTGGCACGGATAGGCAGCACTGATGGACACTGTTAGGACTGCACTGATGTCCTCTTTCACAGTTGCCAGTTACCGGCTCTCCTCTCTGAGGAAAGTGCAGCAGAGATAACCGGCAACTGTGTTTACATCGTGCTCAGCTGTGTCATTGGACACAGCTGATCACGTGGTAAAGGGCCACTATGTTTGGCCTTTTACCGTGATCTGTGATCAGCTGTGTCCGACGGACACAGCGATCACAGAGCACGCCAGGTGTGCACCCCAGAGGGTGCACTGGAGGCACAATTCCGGGAGGACGTCATATGACGCCCTCCCAGAACTGGACGACCTTGCTGTAGCCGTCATTCGGTTATAGCCCAGTCATCAAGTGGTTAAACTTGTTGGTTTGTTAAGAACTCCCCCTCCCCCCCCCCCCCCCCCCTCCCCCCCCCTCCCCCCCTCCCCCCTAAGACAGATTTTAGAAGAATGGAGCGTTTAGATGATTGAATTATGGTCTCCTGTTTTATTCTATGACGCCCTCCCAGAATCTGTACCCACCCCGCATTCCCACCCCTCCTCCGCAACCCTCTATCCCACTGTAAACATCCCCTCCGCCCGCCCTCTCTCTCGCCACCAACCACCTCCCGTTACCACTATCAAGTGTGTTAAACTTGATGGGCCTTATGAGAGACGCGACGTCCTCACTCCACCTCACACTCCCCTTAGCAAATTAAAACCTAGCTGTGCTAGGTTAGGTACAAATAGCAGTTTACTAGATACATTGTATTTGGTAAGCAGGTGCGATATCACAGGATTATCTGATATAGAGAAAGCAGCTTCCAAACCGGGGGAAAAAGAAGGCTCGCTCTGAGAAGCTGCCTATATGTTTACAAAGCTGGAGTTCTGTTTCCTTTGCTCAGATAGTTCTGGACTGTATCAGTGGTAGAGCCAGTCCAGAGACACATAAATCAGACTTACTTCCACCCGCAGGGAAGGCAGAGCTAATAGGATAACATAGGGACAGATAGATTTCTGTCGTTCTCGGTTCCCCTAATACATAACAATGGCCTGTCAGTAGATTTTCCTTTCCACATCCATGACTGTAAAGGGAAATGTAATACTAATACAAGGCTAAGCTTTGACCATCACTAATTCTCATAAAGCATTGGGCCGGGGAAAGTAAATATTCTGATATTGTCAGCTCCCTGGAGAATGAAGACGGGCTTCAACTACAAGTGTACAGTGTAAAGAGCATGCCACAAATGGGAAGCCTTCCATTTCCATTTATAAGGTCTGACTTTAGAATTCCTCTCTGATCCTCGTTTTCACAAGTCCACATATTTTTAAAAGTTTCTTTTATTCACCTTTTACATTCACCAGTTTAACACTTTTCTGACTGCATCATCTTTTAGCTGTTTCTATTGTCTGCATTTATTTTTATTATTGTTACTCTTATAGCACCATCAATTTGCACAGGGCGTTACATATATATTGCACAATCACATCAGTCCCTGTCCTCTAGGAGCTTACACTCTACGGTCCCTAACTCATATTAATGTTGGAGGAAAATGGAGTACCCGAAGGAAACCAATGCATGAACAGGGAGAACATGCAAACTCCTTGCAGGTAATGCCATGACTGGAATAATCTGAACACAAACATTTGCAGGTTTAATACAGCATTAAAGTGGTTGTAAATCCTGAAGGTTTTTTTTTCTACATTCTATGCATGAAGGTAAAAACCTTTCGGTATGCAGCTCCCCCTAATACTTACCTGAGCCCATCTTGATACAGCAACGTGCATGAGAGCAGCTGCTGTCCCAGCTCTATGCCGCCTCATTGGCTCAGGGGCAGCGGTGGAAGCCAGTGAAAAGGGAGTGGGGACGGGCCGAGCCCCATTTTGTGTGTCTTACGGACACACAGTGCAGGGCTTAGAAGCGAGCACACACAAAATGCCCCCAAAGCAAGCAGCTTGCTCTGGGGGCACATGGCGGGGGGAGGAGCTCACAGTTCTGAGAGGGGATTGGGGCTGTTCTGTGCAAAACCCTTGCACAGAGCAGGTAATTATAACATGTTTGTTATTTTTAATTGAGCCTTTAAAATAGCAAACTGAAAGAAACCATTCCTGAGAAGAACATGGAGGCTGACGCTGCTGAATTTTCATTCTGTACATGCTAGCCTGTCATGGTGGCTCATGTATTTTCAGCCACTGACCCAGAATAAGTATGCAGATAAGGAGTGCTGTCTTTCCTTATCTGCATGCTTATTCCAATTTAGTAATTGAAATTGTATCACAGCATGTCAGGTTAGCAGCAGAGTAGATGGTTAGCTAGCACTTTAAGAAGATCAGCATTGGCTGTTTTCATATTTCACATCCGGAGGCCCCTCTCTAATGCCCCGTACACACGATGAAAATATCTGACGAACGATCGGCCTTTTTTTTTTTTTCCGCCTGCTAGTCTCACATCGAAAGGGAAAAGGTTACTAAAGATTCGAATTTCTTTTCTTTCATAGGAGAATTTTCGTAAGTGATGTCATGTATTGCGTTGTATTAGTATTGTATTTTCAAACGACTACTGTACAGATTAAACGAAAATCGTGCAATCTGGTGTCATACGAGAAAAATGTTTGCGCTTGTCCCTTCGGATATTGTCGTACGAATTGTCGTGATCGGCTCTTGAAAGCTGTGTACTGACGATCCGATTATTGGACAATCGGTCCTCGTACGAAAATTTTCGTATGATTTTCTTATAGTGTGTACGAGGCATAAGTAACAGCGGCAGCGAGAGACCTGGACGGGGACTTATTATTAGGTAAGTATATCCGAGTTTATATAGCGCCAAAGGGTTTGCACCTAGGGGGGGACAATACATGGAAAAAACAAAGAAAAGGTACGAGGGGTAAGAGGGCCCTATCTTACGAGCTTAGAGTAAGTATATCCTGCATCAGGGTAGGAAAAAGAAAAGGCCTATCAGGAGGTTACAGGGGGTGGGAGGGAAGGGATTAGAGTTGATTCACATTTCGCCTGGAGTAGGGCTTGAATTCAAGGATGAACATCAGCAACACGAGAATTTCCCTAGATTCAGCTCCTATCTTTATAGTAGTTAGCAACTTGAAGAAACAACTATTATTTTTCACAGATAAAAAGGAGCCTTTAATGAAGTACAGCTACCCATTCCTGCTGACTGTGATGTGTATGGGTACCCCCCGGTAAATGATCTGAGCAGAAAAAAAAAAAAGACGATTGCTTGGGCTGGATTAATCCACCTGGCTGTTCGCTGAGCTCATCTGCTGCCTGCAGAGCACATTAGGATCAATTCATAAAGCTTTACAAGAGAGGGATTTTTATTTTCACTCACGAAACTGTAATTTCCAAATCTCATTGGACTTGGCTGAAAATACCTAGCACGTATTTTTAGGATCCTTACCTGGGCGTTTAAGCATTGTGAACGGAGTCTATAGGTAATACCAAATAAACTCATTCAACCATGTTGGGAGTGAGCCTAGGCAGCCCGATAATAAAAGGGAATTCTCATTTTTTAGCATCACTAGCCATCGTCACACTGCCTCGGACTGTGAACACAGGAGTCCAGTGTACAATCACACCGTGTTAGATTTTCATAGGCACAGACTTAAAGCGGAGTTCCACTCACACTGTAAAAAAGTAACAGTCAGCAGCGACAAAAACTAGCTGCTGACTTAAAAAAAAAAAAAAAAACAACAGCCACTTACCTGTCCCACGATCTCGTGGTGTCCTCCCCACAGCCCGTTTTACCGGCCGTTCCTGTGTTCCAGGCGCCGGCATCTTTAGTGTGGGCACCCGGCTGTGAAGGCGCAAGCTGTCACAGCCGGGAGCCCACACTGAAGATGTGCGAGTAGCGCTGCACTTCCTGAATGACCCCGTCGTCTTCTGAGACCTGTCACGTGTTCTAGAAGACTAGAGGAGGGAGGGGAGAGGACAGCTTCCGCTTTCAATCACCTAGGCGATTGCAGCAGAAATGGGAGTACCTGTCAATTTCAGGTACCCACTCCCCAAAAGGTGCCAATCCTTAACGGGGAACGGGGGGACCAATCTTTAAAGCGGAACTTCCCCTTTTGGGTGGAACTCTGCTTTACGTTATGGCAGTAAATAACACCGCAAACATAAAAATCTGATGATTGCAATGAAGAAATCTGCTGCATCTTCCAAACCTTTCTTTAAACCATATCTGACCATGTTGTACTATAGATGCATACCAGGGGCGGACTGACAACTCATGGGGCCCCCGGGCAATAGGGGATCATGGGGCCCCTATGTCCTTGCCCAAACTCAAAAAATCCTATGAAAAAGGTACCAGGGGCATCTCATGGGGCCCACCACTGACCCCGGGCCCTCAGGCAGTGCCCGAGTATCCAAATGGTCAGTCCGCCCCTGATGCATACATAATGTCTATAATATGCAGATACTTCTTCAGTGATACAATCTAGTTGTATGATAGTGTGGTAACATGCACAAGCGGATTACATTTGGATGATATTGAAGTAGTGTATAGCTAAAGCCAGACACATGTTAAGATCAAAGAGATTTCATCAATAGCTTCTCACAGAGGCCTCTTCATGCATGAGAGCAGCCTAACCCAAGTCATTGCATCCTACTTCATATATCCATTTCCACACTGTGAGAGGAAACTTACTCTGGAGCTGACAAATTCCAATCCATTCCTTCTTCATCGCGTTAAAATCAGACCATCTGGCCAGACCTCTGCTGCAATCTCCATCCATATAAACAAGGGTAGAGGTTTTATTTTAGAATAAACAGATCTCTCATTAAATGTATTAAGGCTCCATACACATTAGCATTTTTTAAGCTTCTAGACGCCGTTATCAGCATTTTTTCTGCTCCTAGATTGTAAATTCCTTGAGGGTTAGGGACTGATGTGAACATACAATATATATGTAAAGCGCTGCATAAATTGACGGCACTATAGAAGTACCTGAAATAGAATAATAAATGGATAGAAACTAAATAGTGTTATCCTAGGTGTCCATCCACACGATTTTTGTTTTTTGAGCTTAAAAAAAACAAAAAAAAAAAAAAACGCTAGTGTGCATGGAGCCTTAAGGTGATATTCAAACAAATCAGAACTCCCCCATATATTAGGGATCAGCATCTATAGTAAGAGAGTTCTCTTGAGTTTCTGGTTTTCTTAGGACAAATGTCTGCAATTATTTTTTACAATTCTTTTACAGTATCTCCAGGAGAAACCTGGTGGCAAATAAAAAAAAAAAAAAAACACAAATATTTCATACCAGAACAATTGTATATTTGTGGTCAAACTTCAACAATCCAAGCACCGTAAACAGCAGCACAGGGGATTCAGACAGGAGCTGCGAGAGGTAGGGATTATGTAAAAGGACTCCAAATACTGTATGTGACTTTGATTTTTTCCTGAAATGCATTTTGTTTCCAGGAATGCAATGAAATTAGCACATTCTAACATGTTTGGCAGACATGCCTGGTATCATGCACTCTTGGTCCTCAATGCTCTGGATCTTCTGTGTATTTAAATTAGTGGATTTCCATGCTTCTTGGTAAATTACTGTATTTCTATGCTTTTGTTATTTCAGTAACATTTCAATGAAGGCGCTGGTAGAAGCGCTACAAGTTAACCCCTTGACACCAATGTCACACAAATATGCAGCCTCATAGAACTGGGCTTTTTTCCGTGGGGCCGCATATTTGCGTACCTGTCTTTGTGCTGGGAGCGCGCCGCTCGGCGCGCTCCCAGCACAAAGACCGCGGTGTCACTGAAAGCCTGGGGTTCCGTTCTAACGATCGGGACCTGGGACTCCCGATTCCGGGTCACGCGATTGCTGTGATAGCCTCTGAATGGCTATCACAGTGAGCAGTCCGGCCCCCTTGTCTTTTCTCTATGAATGGAGGGGAGAGATACATTGTATCTCTCTAACTCCTGGCATAGAGAGAAAAAAAATGTTTGTAAAAAAATTATTAAGAAATAAAAGAAAAAATAAAGAAAAATACCTAGATCAAGATTTGATCTAGTTCAGTGCCAGGGTTAGTGTTTGGGTCAGGGTCAAAGGTCAGGGTTTAAAAAAAAATTGGTGTCAGTTATTGTTAATGTCAGTGTGTTTTAGGTAAAAAAAACAAAAAAAAAAAACAAAATTGTGCACTATTGTTGCTGGGCTGTACTACGGGTACAAACAAATAACATACACATATATGGTATCAGTGCGATCGTCAAGAGCTGGAGAACTTATTTTGGGTTGTTCTTTGGTGGTAGGTTATGGTAGTAACAAGAAACACACAGCTAAATTTAAAAAAAAATGATTTTTTTTTTTACTATTTTGGGCCAGTTTTTTTTTAATAAAAAAAAAAAAAAAAAAATTAGGAGCTATCCATTACCATTTACCACCAATGAAATCCCAATTTGTCCTGAAAAAAAAAAAAAAAAAAACAAGGTATAATCCACCTGGATGTACAAAGCAGTTGTGATGATATGTACGGTTTTACTATCACATGTCAATGTTGCAGAATTGTGCTTAGGCATTTAGATTTGTTTTACCCTTAGGCGTGAAGGGGTTAAGGAACTCGGGGGAATCATGCACTCCCATTTTAAAGTGTAAGTTGAACTTTTAAGGAAAAATGAAAAGGTGAACTAGTATCTTACACCCTCCAAAAAAACCCCAGTCCCCATTGTACTTGCCTTTATGACTGCCTACACAGATGATGCAGTGGTCCGGGGATTTGAAATCCCTGCTCATCCCCCTCGAATTTCTGCACAGCTAGCTCAGATTTATCCTGAAAGCAATGAAAGGAGAGAAGCAGGGATTTCTAATCCCTGGACCACCTCACAGTATGTGTGGGCACTTACATCTCATTACCCATGGAGGTAAGTAAAGGGGGCATGGGGGGGGGGGGGGGGGCGTTCAGTGCAGAGTGTACAGTTAGTTCATCTTTTTATTTTTTCTAAAAAGGTGAATGAACCCTTTAAGCTAATGACATTCTTCTTTATTGCACTCACTATGTGCAGTAGAACACAGAAAAAGTAGAAATCCACTTATTTAAATACATAAGAGTTTGGATCAAGAGTATGATGATGATGTCCAATGATACTCTTCCTACCAGTCCATCTCCCACAGTTACTACCTTTTGTACCACTAGCCCCTCCCTCTTAGATTGTAAGCTCCAAGGAGCAGGGCCCTCCTATCCCTCTTGTATTGAACTGTATTGTTGCTGCATATTGTCTCCTGTTATATTGTAAAGCGCTGAGCAAACTGTTGGCGCTATATAAATCCTGTAGAATAATAATAAAATGACCACCATACTGAATTACAGAATGCCCCTTTTTGAGAAGACATGGTCTCCACAGATTCAACACTACCTCCCCAAGTTCTGACCACCATCTTGTGAAGCTTTAATCCCTGCTGAAAATCCACCAAACTGGCCCAGAGGACTAAAAGGGGCCCTTCAAACCCCTCCCCCTTATCTCCTTAACTTTCCTTATTTCTTTACTCTTCTTCTGCTCAATGACACATTACATTGCTGTACTGCCTTTCACGGTAGTATGTCCTAACTCATTACATCGGAATGCATGGTGTATGGTAACCTTGTCAATGTAACACTGGGCTACACTCTGTAACTCCTGTACTTAAAGAATATGTAACCCAACATTTCAGATTCCTAATATGTGCCTGCAGTACTATGTATCGTATGAAAAAGTCTCCTGTTCTCTTTGTATTGCTTCCTTTGTGTGAAATCCCTGGTGTTCCTGCCAGTCTCTCTGCGTTCCTATTAAAAACTGACCACACTAGGCAGGAGAGTACAACATAGTCAGCTCTCTAGCTATGCTGGGAACACAGTCTGCTCTCCTCCAATTATCAGATTTGACCTGACACCCCCCCCCACCCTGCCAGGTTTCCAAACGTGAATGTTTTGGAAAAAATATACTTTAATGAATTTTAATGCACAAAAACACAATATAATACACAAGTTTTGGTTAAATATAAAAGAAAATGATACGGCAAGTAAATAAATACCACACGTTATGCTTTAAAATTGTGTATGCCCGTGGAATGGCCCCAAACTATGGAACCTAAAAATCTCCATAGCCAACGCTTTAAAAGCCTTTACAGGTTACCAGTTTAGAGTTATACAGAAAGTTTGGCATTAGAATTATTGCTCTAGCTCTGACATCCGTGTCGATATATCTCACACGTGGTGCAATCGCTGTTTACGTGTGTGTGCAGGACCGATGCATACATTCGCCTTTGCGCAGGAAGCACGGTGGGATGAGGATGCTTTAAAAAGTTTTTTTTGTTTTATTTTGATTTTTTTTTTTTTGTTTACAGTTCAACTTTAAGGAATGTAACCATCCCCTGTGATGGCATGGGCCATGACAGGTCCTCTTTTTATTGAGATCTGGGGTTTATGAGACCCCATAGCTCTCCTCTGGCCTCCAAAGCATCAGATTACACCAAGATCAGTGTGATCTGATGCTTGTTTACGTTAATAATGGCTTCTTTATGCGAGACCGAACCGGGAAGTGAGGAATTCCTCATCACTTCTGGAATATGACATCACACAGTGGAAGGAATGACATCCGTTCCTCCCACTGTGACTCAGGAACAGAATGCCACCGGTCGCATCCTTACTGGGATCTCCAATCACATGGGAGAGCCTGATAAAGGTGGCGGCGGTAAGGAGGGGATCCTGTTTTGCTGCCTGTAAAAGTAATACAGCAACTCTTTAGCCATTCGGATTACTTTTACAAGAATCGCTGGCTTAAAAAAAAAAATGATATCTTGGTCATCACTGCAGCTGCAGAGGTGATGGAGATATCACCATTCCCAGACATTCAGGTATGTCCTATGGACAGGAAGTGGTTAAAATCTGAATAAAATTACTGAACTAAAATGACTTTTGAACACACAACAGATTCATGCTTCACTATAAATATGATCATACTGTGAAAAGGAACTAATACTTCCTGTGCATACATATTTCGGTCTCTAGCAGTGTGGGAATTATATTATTGGTGACTTTAAAAGTGACAAAATGTTCCTGGAGGAAAGAAATACATAAAATGCCTGCGAGTCTCTGATCTCTAATTCTATAAGCTATTAAGATGTTACAGAACATGAGGATTTAATTAGCAACAATGAGAAGCTGCAGGGAACAAGTTAAATCAGATAATATTGTGGTCATCGAAAACAACCCCTTAAACGTCAGACATTGAGATATTAAAGTAGATGCAAACTCTCTTCACTGCTAGCAGAAATTGCATGCAAGAAATCAGACAGGCTGGTTGTACTGAAGTTGATCGATGGATCGACTTCAGAATAACCAGCCTGTACATACATGGATGGAATCTTGGCATGTCCCTGCTGAACTGGCTGAAGTTTGGTCCATCTATGGCCAGCTTAAACGAAGA